GGGGGCCGGGACCGCGGCAGGCAGCAGCGTGCCACTCAAAATCGGCTTGCGTGCCGTAGGTTGCCGACCTCTGATGTAAGTGATACAGATTAAAAGTATTATAGTGCACTGATTAATATCTGCATTTTAAGCTATTTTATCCTATTAAAGGCATTATGAATATCTCCTTTTTATATAACAAATAATTTACTACAATAATCAAATCCCTCGTCATTCAAAAAAGGCTAATGGATTTGGATGTGGTATATTTTAAGCAGTCATACGGAAGTACCATTAAAACATGAAAATGAATGGTCTTTTAGCATTCGTCCTGAAACACATTTGTTCTGCAAGTGGTAACCTCAGAGCAGAGCTGAGACTTTAAAAAATGTGCATGGTATTGTGCATAGACTCTCAATAAAAGTACACACAAATGACCAGTTAGCCATCAAACTGATACATTTTAATGTGGAATTGTGTTTGTACATGCAGTTATGGTAATCACATATGTAAATCTAAAAATCTGGACCTTTAAATATTTTTATATTAGAGTTTATCAATTTAACATGGAAGCATGCTCAAACATGCTGATAAAAATTTTGTTTACTGATAAAATGTTCAAATGGTTCAATGGTCTTGATACGAGATAAATATGAAGATACTTGTTTTCTTCTTCTTCTTCTTCTTAATGTAGATCTTTATGTCAGAGGCTGGGAAAATTAATCAGAAGATTAAAGTGTGGTTCAGTGATTACTTCAACATCAGTGATACAATTGCCATTGTTACTTTCTTCATTGGGTTTGCACTAAGATTTGGAGCAAAAGGGAACTTTGGTGACAATACTTACAGAGAAAATTATGTTTTTGTTGCTGGAAGAATAACATACTGTCTAAATATAATATTTTGGTATGTGCGATTACTGGATATTTTAGCTGTAAATCAACAGGCTGGCCCTTATGTCATGATGATTGGCAAAATGGTAAGTTTTGTTTTATTGAAAACATACCTCTGAGGTAATTTTCCACAAATCAAAATGTGCAAATGGGTTAATTAAGATATAATTTCTGTTCACAGATCCTCAGAACAGTGGGGGGTGAGCGTGGCTTCCCAAACATTTGGTTATAGTCTGTGATATCTGCCCTTCTGATGTATAGAAAATCCATTTTGTTGAATAGGTGCTATGATTGCTCTTCTTTTACAAACATCTCTCAGAACTGAAGGAAAGGCAGCAGTCCTTCCATCTAGCTTCTTTTTTTTTTTTCTTTTGTAGGGTTAGGATGATATTACTCTTATTCTTTTGGGGTTTCTGTATATTCTGTCCCTACACTGTTTTAATGCAGTAGTTCTTGTTCCATACCAGAACCTCCCATGTACTTATCAATATGGGAAGGGCAAGGTGGTTGTGAGCCACAGTGTGGGAATCTCTGCTCTATTGCTAACTGCCTTACTGATCTTATTCCTTAAAGGAAAGAGACTTTCAATTTATTTATGGAATCAAAAGGATTTAAATCAGCGGTTCTCAAACTGTGGGTCGCGACCCCAAAGTGGGTCACAACCGTGTTGTAATAGGGTCGCTAGTGCTGGCATTAGACTTGCTGGGGCCTGGGGCTGAAGGCAATGCCCAAGCCCCTTTCTCCTGCTTCTCATGGCTTCTCCTCTGAAACATGAGGTCAGAGAGGGAGACTCACATAGTCAGTACCCTTCTGTTCATGTTCTCCCTTTGTCTCTCAGATGATTGATGAGAAACCCTTTCTTTTATAGCCTCCAGCCCCCTTGTCAGGTGACTCACTGATCAGCCTTATCAGGTGATCAGAGACCTCTACCAGGTGATCTGTTACTTAGTTATCACCCCCTCAAGTTCAGATTTGAAAACTGGTTTACCCTGGATGGCAGCCTTCTATTTGTCCAAGAGTGCTCGATTTAAACGGATAATCATCCAAGTTTAATGTCCTTCCATTGTTAGCCCTTTGCAACACCACTCTTTGGAATTTTAGCCAAGATGGGGGTAAAAAGGCAGCAGGAAGGCAAAAACAGAACCTTATACTCAAAATGGAGTTTGCAGCTTGATAAAGATAAATATACAAATATACAAAGTTCATAATCTCAAATATGAGTCATAAACTGTGCATAGGCAGATTCCCCAAATAATCAAGTCTTAAAGCAGATTTCCTTCCTCCTGATCAGACAGCATAAACTGAATTTTTCAATACATTCCCTCTTCTATAGCATCTGGAACTTGCACAGAGTGTTAGGAGTTATGAAGATCATCTAAATAACTCTGCCATAGTGAATAATGGAAATAAAATCATCTAACTGTGAGATATATGAACTGATTGATGATAAAATAGGAACTAGGGGAGTAAGATGTATGCCCTGGTTCTATTTCTGTGTCACACTCAATTTCCGAGCTTGGGAAAACTACCTATACTGTGCTTAGCCTCACAGAGAGTGTAGGAGGGAGAAGGAGTATATCACGTTCCTAAAGAATGGTGGGTACAGTAAATCAGCGTTCCAAGCTGTAAGAGCGTACAATAGTTTGGTGGGAGGAAAAACTGAAGATGACGGTTTGTGGTCTTGTGCTGAATTTTAGCTGGCTGAATCCTCTAACCCCATTATAAATTCCTCAAAAACTGCTTAAAATTGCAAAATGCACAAAATTCCTTAAGCTTGCACTAGAAATTGCTGCTATAACTGTATAAAAGCCAGCTTTAATCAAATGGAAGCTGGGTATACTTCAGTGCTGGTTAATACAGTACTTTAAAAATAAAAAGAATTAAAATAGCATGTCAAACTGCTGCAAAACTGAATTGTATGTTTTATTCTTTTTAGTTTAAGGAGTAAGTATAATAAATTCTTATCCTCAGTTTGCTAACCCCCAAATTTGTTGATATATATAGATATAGATACACACAAAGTTAAATATTGATATATTTTGGAGACAGAGTAATTACACAAGTGTTTTGAAACCATAATTGCCAAAGCTTTTATTTGGTGAACTTTTTGAGTTTTCTTAACTTGAACTTTTTTTAAACAGGTCGCCAACATGTTCTACATTGTAGTGATTATGGCACTTGTACTGCTTAGTTTTGGTGTTCCCAGGAAGGCAATACTCTATCCTAATGAAGCACCGTCTTGGACTCTTGCTAGAGATATTGTGTTTCATCCATACTGGATGATTTTTGGTGAAGTTTATGCATATGAAATTGATGGTAAGATGATGCAATTTTAGAACAATTTATGGAGACTCTCAAGGATTAAGGATATTTTTTTCCAGGTGCTGATAGATTGAGGTGTGTTGATGAACACGAATTTAGTTAGTTGTATTGAATTACCTTTTCTTCTTGAGGTATACCCATTTAAGTCCCAGATGTCCAAATGTAGGGAACCCTTTGTCTTGCTTATGCTGAAAAAAGCTTAAACATGACCTAGAATGAGAACTTTTGTTCCTTTTTTGGCCAAAAGGGGAAGTGTCTTCCAATTGGGCTAATCCTAGAGCTGTATTTATCGCATATGCAACCATCGTGCCAAGATTTTGTTGCTGTGAGCTGAAAAAGCATTTTACTTAACTGATAAAGACCACTCAGTAACTACAGGATGCCTCTCTCTCCTGTAACTTTTTTAAAACTGTTCCTAATGGTATTTTTTTAAAAGAACAAATTACAGGATAGATGCATACAGCTAGTTATTGCACAATCTTTGAGTGATTCTTTCAGCATCTATATCTGCTATAAGTATTAAAAGTCCTCTCTAAAAGAAAATATGGTCTCTGTGTTTTCTCACCAAAGTATGTGCAAATGATTCACAAGTTAACCGTCTCTGTGGACCTGGAACATGGCTGACCCCATTTCTTCAAGCTGTCTACCTCTTTGTACAGTACATTATTATGGTTAATCTCCTTATTGCATTTTTCAAGTAAGTATATTGTTACTTTCAGATAATTGTTAATCTGGTGATAAGTACATATCTAACGTGAATAAACTAACTAAAAATAGTTTGATGGCCTGATGGCAGTGGAAGGCCCTGCTGTTTGGTGGCTGTGTGTTCTTCAGGTGCTAATCTTGATCCATTACTCTTCAGCACTGTAGGGACTGTCTGCCCAGCTCCTAGGGCAGAGGGATTGTGATACACCCTGCCATGATGCTATGCTTTCTGAAGGCACTGTGTCCAGCCCAAAATTGCAGGGAGGCTAAATGTAACAGAGGGAAAGCTAAGGGAGGGAGAATTTGAGGGCATCCCTGCCCTCCTCCTCTCCTTTCAAAAATAAAAAAGAACAAAATTGGTTCTTGGGTTTATTGTTCCACTGGCATAACTTCATATCCAGAATGTTATTCGAAAGTGCAAACGTTATTTTTTTGTTTGTTTGTTTTTTGTTTTTGTTTTTTTAAATAAAGAGCTTGGCTAGGGATAGCTATAGAGAAGTTTAAAATCAAATTTTGTTTATTTTTCTAATCCATTAAAAACTATTTTGAAAAAGCATTTATAATAGTACACAGCTCATTAAAACTGAAGACTTGCTTAATCCATGATTGGTGGGCCTGCTTCCAATTTGCAATAATTAGGGGGGTTAGTATACCAGACCACATTAAATTCAGCCAGTAATTTTAATTTGAAAAAATGAAATTTGACCTAAGTGAACTTCCTTCTGATGGAAGGGACCAAGCGGAATAGGAGAAATGATTTCCCTTGCCCCCCTTAACTACAAACCAGGCAATACACAACAGTGCAAGATCTCCACAATCCTGGTCTCACTGTTGGGCCTGGAACCAGCTAGCTTTACGCAGAAAGTATATAGGTCTGGTGAGGGAGATGGGCTGATTCAGTGCATCTGTCTGGAATCCTCCACTGGCAGGACTCTTGTGGAGTCCTGGCTGAAGTTTAAAAGCTGCTCTTCTCTGACAGAATGCCAGGAGGTACAACATTCTGTCCTGTCTACAGGTAAAAATTGCTGGCACAGCTGACCTTGCAAGCACAGGGGAGTACAATTTGCACTAACTCTATCTGGAGGCATGAAGCAAATCTATATTACTAATAACTTGAATAGCATGTTACAGCGAAATCGTAATTCTTTCACTGAATTGACATATCTGAAGGCACAGTGAACTACAAACATAATGGAAGTGCCTTAGAGTCACATTGATGTTTTAATGTAGTTTCTTGTATTCTTGTTTTTACCTGGTGGCAGGGCATGGTGCCCTGTGTAGTACTTTAAGAAATATGATCTATACTAAATAAAAGGTAAATTTAAAAAAAAAAATTCCTACTTAAATATTACTTATAAATTTCTTACTTTAACACTGACCGGGGAACCTGTTGCAAATTAATGCAGTTTAATTAGCAATCAAAATTAATAAAAAGCGAAGATGGTAAACTGTAATGTCATTAAATTTAACTTGATAAGCTTAGTTCAATTTTATTCTTCATTAGTTTTCCAAATATACTAAGTTTACTAGTATACAATGAAGTCTCAGCAAAGATTTAATAGCATTGTTTTGTGTTCTTGTGTTACTAGAAAGTGCAAAAAGAGTGCCATTTTTGTGTAACATGTATGGATTAGTAACGTCCTGCTGTACTTTTGCAGAAACACTTATCTGTAACAAGTCATTGTTTCTAGTTTATGCCTACACATGAAACAAATCTCTACAAGTTTTACATTTCTGACTTTACATCTGAATCTGCATACCTAACATTACAAAAAAAGTTTGATTTGTCAAACTTATTTGACTTTAGGCTTTTTGCATCTATTTTAGTTCAAGAACAGAATGCAGACTTTTATAATTAAAACTGGCATTTTCTCAGTCAATAAAAGTGTTCCGACGGTATTTTTAATCATAAAAATTGAGCTTTATTTATACCTGTTAAGAAACTGCATGCTGCAAATTTAAGAAATAAGATTAGATGTTTTTCTTTCTTTCTTTTTTTTTTTAAATAAAGGGCAGGTGTGCTTTAGGTGGTTCAGATTGTGCTCTTACTACAGTAACTACTACAAGCAATGATTACGTTTATGGGGCCAGATTTGCACAAATTACAGAGATATTGTATGTGTGTACACGCCGTGAACTGCACTTGTGCATGCAGACAGGATGATTGCATGTGCAACTGGCTAGTTAAACATTTAACTGATTGTGTGTTTAATCTAGTTTGCACATACAGTCACAACAAATATGCATGCCAACATATGTGCATTTTTGCCTTGCAGTTACAAAACTGCTGCAGCTAGTTCTGTAATGCCTCAAACAACTGGCAAATAATTATTGTAACTATGACTAGATAGCTATTCCTTTCCCAGTGATCACCAGTTATGTTATGATACTTAAATTTGCACAGTAGACTTATTCTTAGTACATTACAGAAGGGATCCTAGAGATGAGAGGCTAAACATATGCCCCCTGCTGTGTTCTCTCCACTGCTTCAGACCTTAGCATTTATGAGACTGCTAACATAGTTGCGAATTTTGGTGGTTAGAGTTGTCCATAAGGAATAGAATGACAACAAGCATAGGGCAATGAAGTCAGATCCTGATGACTTCATCACTATCAGCTCAGTCTACACAAACAAATAACCATTAGGCAAAATCATGTGATTATTAATATCCTGAACACCATTCCCAAATACACGAAAAGCTGTGTTATCCAGCACTTTACCAATCGTAAATCTCTATAAACCGGCATTTCTGATCTTCATTGAAAGTCCAGGTTATAGTCCGGTCTGTGTGGGTCCCCAGAAGTAGCGACATGTCACTGCTGCTCGTAGGTGGAGGAACAGCTTCGAGGGGTTTGGAGTGCAGGAGGGGGGGATGCAGGACGTGGGCTCTGGGAGGGAGTTTGGGCATGGGAGGGGGCTTGGGACAGGGGTTTGGGGGGCACGGGAAGGGTTTCGGCGTGCCGGATCCGGGTGACGCTCACTTCAGGCAGCTCACCGCAAGTGGCAACGTGTCCCAGCAGCTCCTAGGCGGAGGTGCAGCTAGGCGGCTCTGTGCGCTGCCCCTTTCCTGAGCGTGGGCTCCGCAGCTGCCATTGACCGGGAACTGTGGCCAGTGGGAGCTGCGGGGGCGGCGCCCGTGGGCGGAGGCAGCGCACAGAGCTGCCTAGGAACAGCTGGGTCATGTTGCTGCTTGCGGGGAGCTGCCTGAGGTGAGCATCACACAGATCCGGCACCCTGTCCCCCACCCATGGCCCAACCCCCTGCCCCGAGCCCCCTCCTACACCCAAACTCCTTCCGAGAGTCCCCCCACCCAAACTCCCTCCCTCTTAGTAACTGGAATTTTTCACTTACTGGCACCTGCCATTCCCCCAACATGCCAGATATAAAAGCTTTTACTGTAATATTCTGTAAGCTGAAAGAACAACTCTACCATCAGGGTGTAGGATATTAGGTTAAAAATAGGTCTTCTAAAACAATGATAAAATTGCAATCTAGTTGCAATGTAACAAAAAGGACACATTTATCCCTAGCAATATATCAAGAAATCGTAGTCTCTGGTCTAACAGTTCATCTGCTTTGGAGAGGATCCCTGTTGCTCTTCCAAAGTTTTCATATTAAAACCAATACATGCACAACGTTTTTATTTAAAAAACAAACTTTGTGAGAGAGAAGAAATCTCTCATTTATAGGGCCAACTTTCCTGTCTTTTTAATCTGAAATTACTACAGATTAATGTTACGGTTTATCACAAATGAACCTGAGTGTGAGGGGAATATAATTCTTTCTTGCCATATTGATATAGCCTTCCCTTGATGCACTTCTAAATCCCATTTAAAAATGTAATGAGTTACTTCTTCAGTAAAGTGAAAATACAGTTATGTACAATCTGTACATTTCTCTACATTTATGCCTTTGTAAAATTCAGAAGGTAGTAAAATTGCTTTGGATAGTAACTAACGTCTAAAATCTTTGTGTTAAAACATTTTTACGTTTTCCCCCCTTCAGCAATGTGTATTTACAAGTAAAGGCAATTTCAAACATCGTATGGAAGTATCAGCGCTATCATTTCATTATGGCCTACCATGAAAAACCTGTCCTGCCTCCACCTCTTATTATTCTTAGTCACATGGCTTCCTTATGTTGTTGTATATGTAAAAGAAGAAAGAAAGACAAGACTTCAGATGGACCAAGTAAGAACAAATTTTATCCAAGCAATTATTAGTTTTTCTTGTTTTTCTGTTATTAAAATAAGTTATCAAGAAAGTGGTAATTACTGTTTGGTTACTACTCTTCATTATAATGCACAGAGAGCACAATATAATGTTTAATTCATATACTTGTGTATATTTTATTATCATTTAACTCAGTGTTTCCCAAACTTGGGACGCCGCTTGTGTAGGGAAAGCCCTTGGCGGGCTGGGCCGGGCCGGTTTGTTTACCTGCCGCGTCCGCAGGTCCAGCCGATCGTGGCTCCCACTGGCCACGGTTCGCTGCTCCAGGCCAATGGGAGCTGCTAGAAGCGACGTGGGCCGAGGGACGTACTGGCTGCCGCTTCCAGCAGCTCCCATTGGCCTGAAGCAGCGAACTGCGGCCAGTGGGAGCCGCGATCGGCCAAACCTGCGGACGCGGCAGGTAAACAAACCTACACAAGCGGTGTCCCAAATTTGGGAAACACTGATTTAACTAATTTAAAGTGGTTGAGCACTCTTGCATTCTGATAAAACAAATACCTTAAAAGAACTTAGTTTGTAAGTCTTGTTTTATGGGACTGAACCACAACTCTTCTATCTGTCAATTTCTACTGCCATGTTACCAGTAACATTCTATGCCAAGCCTCAGATTTCAGTTCTGTCCCATATCAATTAAAATAATCCTTCTGTTTTAGCATTTGGAGTTAATATTGGTAAATTGAGCACTAGAGTCCCATTATTTTAAAACTGAATGTAAATGCAGTGGACAACTTGGAGAAAATAGCTGCCTGTTTGCATTACACTGTGTGTAGGTAAAATAAAATAGTCCCTTGCCCTATTTATCAGTGTGTCCAATTTTCTGATGAGGGTCAATGTTTTTTTTTTTCTTCCCATCTTGTTTACTGATTATTTTCATATATTTCATTATTTACTGTCTTTTCACACTCTTGTTTCATTTTGCTAGTAGTAGTTCCTTGTAAGCACTGGTCCAGTTTTCCTGTTTTAAAGTAGTTTTAAAAATATTGACTTTATACAATGCTATATTTCTACACTCTGTTTTAATTCCATTTAGATTTAAATAAATCTTGCAAAGACATCTTACTTTCATGGCTTTTTTTAGGGTTGGTTGGATATTTTTTTGTATCAAAACTGTGTGGGTTTTCAGTTAAACACATTTTTTCATGAATAGTAACTGATTTCCTTGGAAAACTTCAACTTTTTTAAAAAATAAAAACACCCAAGAAACAGAAAATGAATTTACCATGATGCACTGTGGACAGAGGTTCAGCAAGAGCAGAGACCATGGTATTGTGGGAGATATAGTCTAGCCAGGGAGCCCAACCAAAAGAAGGGAATGGCAACATGAGGTACCCAAACTACAACTCCCATGAGGAACCTCCGTGGGATTTCCTAATTGAAACTTTTGGTCTCCAGCCAAAAAATGTTTGTGTTTTGCTGAAAATTTTCAGTTTTCAACTTTTCCCCCCCTGTTAAAAAGTTGAAGTTTTCCACCATGGGTAAAACCCATTTTTCAACCAGCTCTAGAGAGCATCCTCATTTACCCCATCTCATTGATCAATGTGGCTACTTATTTCAAGCACTTGTGATGTAGCGTAGCCTACTAATCTCCTGAATTGTTGCTTTCTCTTTCATTAGAACTCTTCCTAACAGAAGAAGACCAAAAGAAACTTCATGACTTTGAAGAGTTGTGTGTTGAGATGTATTTCAATGAAAAAGATGATAAATTCCACTCTGGAAGTGAAGAGAGAATTCGAGTCACATTTGAACGGTAGAAAATTTATGTAGAAACTTAAAAATTTAAATAAAAACTTTGACTTATTAAAACCTGTTATCAGGAACAGGTACAGTGCATATAGTTGCTTGTACAAAGTATTCATGACAATGTTACATGACACTTTCTTAGCTACATAAAAATTATTACAGACTGTTTTATGCTGTCTGTATTTCTGAGTTGTAGAAGAGCTCCTGACACTTACTAGTGCACAGCAGACTGAGACTTTTAGTCTCTTTAAAGAGGTCTTCTCAAATGTATTGGAATGGGTGTTAAACAGTACTGTCAGTAGTTCACTGATGTACATTTGTTCCTTGTTGCCTAAGTATGTACAGGTATCCCTTTTTTTACAACAATCCACTGAAATCAACTAAGTCACCCTAAGCCTTTTAAAATTACAAATAATACATTTTCCTTTCTCAAATTGGCAAAAAGAAGTATAGCAAAACTGGTTTCAGAGTAGCAGCCGTGTTAGTCTGTATCCGCAAAAAGAACAGGAGTACTTGTGGCACCTTAGAGACTAACAAATTTATTAGAGCATAAGCTTTCGTGGGCTACAACCCACTTCTTCGGATGCATCCCACGAAAGCTTATGCTCTAATAAATT